CAGCTGATAATTATCTCTGCTTACCAGAACCGCTTTCCTGAAACTGCATTCCATGGAGACCCACCTACAATTGAGGAACTGCACTAGACCCACCCTTAATCCACCCCTGGATAGGAACTGCACTAGACCCACCTTTAATCCACCCTGAATAGAATCTATGTTCTTTATTGTTAAAAGACTTTATGAGCTGATAATTGAAACACGTAGCCCCTCTCCCATTTACTTGTATGTAACATATTTTCAATAAAAAGGCACGATTATTCCTAGCAGTTGTCACTCCTTAGAGAGCGATCTCTGAGGGGTGTCCGGCATAGGACGTGCATGAAAGGCATCGAGGCCTCTGTCTTCTGTTCACCTTCGCCGCCTTCGTCGAGATAACCCACCCACGCCGAGGCTGGACCCCGGCAAATTATTTTATTTAACTTTATTTATTCTTTTTGTTAATTTCAATTTGACCATAGAGTGACAGAGAGAGAGAGAGAGCTGAGAAAGAAGAAAGGAGAGGGACCAGCGGTTAGCGTAATGGTTATGTCGCTAGACTCCCATGTAGTCGACTGCAGTTCAAGTCCCGGACCCGGTGGCTTAAACTTACGCTGGGCACGTGTGCGTGTGTGCATGCCCAAGATCCCAGGAGGAGAATGGAGGAGAAGGGATTGCGGCGTGGCTATCACCCCTGAGGAGTGATTTCTCACTTTCTGTCTCTCTCTGTCTGTCTGGCGAGCGCATGCACCCAATAAGAAAAACCTCTCCAAAAAAAGAAGAAGAAAAAAAAAAAAAGAAGAAGAAAAAAGGAGAACAAGCCTCCAGATCCAGGACTCGAACCATAGTCGGCCATGTGGGAATCCAGCACCTTTAACTATCGTGCCATCTGCTGGCCCCTCTTTTTGTCTTGATCCATGGTCAAGGGGGTTTTCACATAACCTGTACCGAATCCTGGCTACAGGTCCAGAGGACACGAACACCTATAGTGCCTATCCTGCAACCTCAGCAAAGTGAACTCTGTTTAGGAAGCCATTGTCCTTAAACCTAATTTATCCCAGTTTCCCTGAGTCCCTTTATCTTCTAATGCAGTGTGGCATCAGGATTAGGGAGCAACCGTTAGGTATTGTCACTGAAAGTTTCATCACACATGAACCAGTGACATGAGAGTATACCTCCTACATCCCAGTATCATGCTACGTTCAGAGAAATTTTCCAATAACTTGGGTGATGAAAACGAGAGAGAATAACCGTGTGGCCAAAAGGCTGTTGGGACAGAAATAGTGAATGTCATGTCAAACTGAAAACTTGGGGGCCAGCAGGTGGTGTGGTGGTTGAGGCGCTGGTCTCCCACAAGGTTTACCACGGTTCAAGTCCTGGGCCTGGCGGCTTCCTTTCTTATTTTCTTTCTGTCTCATGACCATGAGCTCCATAGCAAACTAAAACAAAACAAAACAATCAAATAATTCTTAAAAATATGGAAAACTTGGAAACCCACCAGGATCTATTCTTCTTTGCTAGATCACATAAAGTTTATCCCTTCCTGTTGAGTTCAGTAATTAAGCTATAAGCCGTGGTACCCTGGACTAATGCCTGTGGCTATCATTTTTTACCATTTCAACATGACCTTTTTAAATGAAAAACATTACCACTTTTATTTATGAACTTTGGGTGGGGAAAAAGCAGCTTTCCCAGATTTTAAAATGTGTAATAAAGGTACTTAAAAAAATAAAAAGAAGTTAAAAGGAAAGTCTAGTAAAAACCAACTGTAAAGTTCTGAACTTTGGTCCGCTAGCTGTGCACGAGCAGTGACCAGCATTTCTGCCGCATTTTACAGCCAAACACGTGAGCCAGGGTGTGACATTGGGGTGAGACTCTTCCCTTTTTATCCACAGCCAAGTCTGTTTCACAGTTTCAGTCTGCTTTTTATTTTTTGTTTACTTTTTTAGCTCAGGCACACTTGGCCAGCGCTAGGCTGATTTATCACTAGATGGCAGCATAGTCTTAGCTGGCTGAAGATTTCTGGGTTTTGCAGGCAGAGCGCTAGCTCCTTAATGGCAAACTGGTCTTAAAGGGCCCACTGTCAGGATTTTTAGGTGTGACTCCAGGACCTGGAGATGGTGGGGGCCTGTGTGTGTAAGAAAGGACAGGAGGCAGGGTCACACAAGGACACCGAATATGTTCACCACCTTGACTTTGGTGATGGCTCCATGAGTGTATACATATCTTGAAACATCAAATTGCATACTTTAAACATGTGAAGTTTACTGTATGTCTGTTACATCCCCATAAAATAAAACATTTTAAATGAGACACTTGAGCTGGACCTTTGGTCTAGTGAGTAAGGGAACTGAATCCCACGTGGCCAACGACAGTTCAAATCCTAGCCCTGGAGGCTTGAAAAACACGCTGAGTGTATGGGCATGCCCAAATCTCAACAGGACAGAAACATGGAAAAGGAATTGTGGTATGACCATGCCCCATTGGGGGTGCTTTCTTCCTTTCTTCCTCTCCTTCTTTGTCTTTATGGCAAGTGCATGTGGCTTTTGACAATTAAAAACAAACAAACAAACAAACAAACAAAAATGAGACAACAATAGGTAATAACTGTTAATTTGTTCTTTTTTTTTTTTCCTTTCATCTAACATGTATTGAGTATCTGAGCCAGAGAATGAGATGGTCCACCTCGAGTCTAATAGGGAAGCTAGGCAAGGACGGGTGCGGGCTGGGGTGTTGGTTAGGCTTTAGAGGACCTAACCCTAAGCTGAGCTGTGAAGGACAGGGATAGGCACAGTGAGAAGGGATATGTAGGGTATGTAGGGTATGTAGGGGTAGCAGCTTCCTATCTTAGGCAAGTCCTAAGGGTAAAAAAACAAGGTCCTGGGGATCAGCAGTTAGTGTAATGGCTATGTTGCTGGACTCCCATGTAGTCTACTTCGGTTCGAGTCCTGGACCTGGTGGTTTAAACTCATGCTGGGCACGTGTGCGTGCGTGCCCAAGATCCCGAAAGGAGAATGGAGGAGAAGGGATTGCAGTGTGGACATCCCTCTGAGGGGTGATTTCTCGCTTTCTGTCTCTCTGTCTCTTTCTGTCTTTCTGAAGAGCACACGTGCCTTATAGCAAAAACTTCTCAAAAAAATAAGTAAAAAAACAAACAAACATAAATTTCTCTTCTTAAATTATTTTAAGATGAAGAAATTAATTCTTAGGACAGCTTAGTAATATTTTTGAGGTCATACAGATAATATGCCCCTATTTAAAGTAGATTATTTAAGAAATTTTGTGAATCAGTAAAATGCAGGGAGACCAGCAGTTAGCGTAATGGCTATGTTGCTGAACTCCCATGTAGCTGACCGCAGTTTGAGTCCTGGACCCAGTGGCTTAAACTCACACCAGGCGTGTGTGCATGCGTGCCCAAGATCCCAAGAGGAGAATGGAGAAGGGATTGTGGCATGGCCATACTCTCTGGGTGGGGGGGGATTTCTCGCTTTCTGT